TTTGTTCTGTGCCCTCAAACGGCAGAGAAATCTCCATTACGCGCGATTTAAAAGTCATTAAGTCGGAGGAGAACTGCTGGTAATTCTCGGGGCTGTGCGCTGACAGATTAACACATCCTCTGTGTTGGGGATTAATGGAAGCAGACAGTAAAATGCTCTTTGATGGAGCTGCGGATGTGCAGCAGAGAGCAAAAAACGCGCAAAACAAACTTTGCATGTTAGATTTTTTCATAAAGTTAAGATGATAGAGAGCTTATTATCCTCATGATCTTGGAGAGGAGTTGGGAGGTTGGATGCGGGTCATCTGATCCCGCTGCAGCTCATATTTAAATATAATTAACCGCCGATCTGATGCTTTTTTATACAGGAAGTTGAAAAGAACATTTTTTTTTGAGTGTCCTTGGTTTGTCCGCTCGGTGCAGCAGAGTAGAGCTGCAGATGTAGAGATGTGCGTAAAAAGCGCATCCTGGCTGTTTGGATCAGCCATCCGGGCCAAAGATGCTCTAATTACAATTCAGTCAGACAGTTTTGCGCCACATTCGTCCATAATCGAGTATTGTTGTTTTGTTTCTCTCCTAGACATTGTTCCCTTCTTCCTTTCATCTCTCCATCTTCTCCTCCCATCTCCCTACATCATCTCTCTGCTATATTTAGCGGCTAGACTGAGGCCTTGGCGCCAGACCGTTTAAGACCTGTCAAAGTCCCTCATATTTCCCCTTGTCACATGGACCAGCGGCCCTCTCCTCCTCCTCCTCCTCCTTTTCTCTTTTCCTCCTCCTTCTGCCTCCCTCCCCGCCCATTGCACCCCCCCCCATCTCTCCTGCTTCATCTCTTCCTTCTCCTCCTGCTGCACTTTTCTTTTCTCTGTTTCATGAAATCAGCTCCAACAGTCTAACTTTTCGCAGCAATAGATGTTCTGTTCGCAGATCAGTTTGACTCCAAAATGGACTCTGGTCACTGAGGCGCACATTTCCAGTGACTGTCAGAGGAATGCACTTTGATCCACTGTGGAAAGCTAAGCCAGGCGACAGGTGGGACACCAGGTGGGGGCGCTGTGGTGATCCCCGGGAGGCAGGAAGAGTGACCGAAGTGTCACATCAGCCTCAGAAGGTCTGATCAGCTTCAGAGAAACTCTGCAGCTTCACACTGACTGAGGAAGATCCGTTTCATTCATCCTCATCCTCACTGATCCAGCGGTGCGCAAAAACTCCCGCAGGTTGATGAGTCGCTTTTATTAATGTGCCACAGATTCATCTGTTTCAACAGGCTGTCAAAAGTAAAACAATAATAATAAAACATTTATTTATTTCCCCTACAAGTGGATCAAATTTCCAAAGTTCTCAGAAATTCAAGCAGATTTTTTATTTGTTGGTATTTTTTCCTCAAACCTTCCTGCTGATGCCGCCTCCATCTCTTTGTTCTTCGGTTTTTATAATTTTATAATAATTACGGTAATCCTAATTTTCATATCAGTCAGTAGAATTAATTTCGATGCACTTTAAAATGAGTTTAAAGACAGAGAATAAATAGACCAGCATCAGCGAGTGTTTCAGCGCAATGTTTTAAAATAAATTATCCAGTAAAAACACTGAAACCGCTTTAAATTATTTTGCTTCTGATAAAAAAAACCTTCGGAGCTTCTGAACTTTTACGGCCGCAAGAAAAAAAAAGTATTACTGAGAAAATAATTAAAAAAGAATAAAGAATAAAAAACAATCAGTGAGTTTATTTATGGGAATAATGGCACCATGTTTAGGAATTAAATCAAACAATCAATTAATCCAGTGATGTAGAGAGATTACCCGTCAATTAATCCATCTGCAGAAAAGTTCAGTTTATTATTCTAAGATTGAAATTTAAACAGAATTTTATTTTATTTTAAAACAGCTGAAGGGCGGCGGCATATGAAAAATATTAGTAAAGGAATAAAGGCTGCGGATCAGCTGACCATGTGGGTCAAAGGTCAGCTGCTGTTTTTACTTCCGGCTCTTTAAAGTTGAGCGAACTTTAAAAAAAAAAAAAAAAAAAAAAA